CACACACACACACTTAAGAAAGATTAAACATGATGATGAAATACAACATTCAGGGATCATGTCTTTTTAAATTAAATTTATTGGGGTGACATTCGTTAATAAGTTTATACAGGTTTCAAGTGTATATTTCTATGATGCATGATCTGCATAGTGTATTGTGTGCCCAAAGCCCAAAGTCAAATCATCTTCGTCACCGTATATTTGGCCCCCTTTCCCTTTCCCTTTTACCGCCTACTGCCGCCAACCCCCATCCCTCAGGCAATCACCATACTGTTGTCTGTGTCTATGAGTTTCAGTTTTGCAACAACATGGATGGACCTTGAGAATATGTCAAATGAAGTAAGTCGGTCAGAAAAAGCTAAGAATCATATGATTCTACTCATATGTGGGACCATGTCTTATTCTGGACAGCTAACCCGAGTGTCCAACCTTTCAGGTGTGGTCTCCAACGACGGTCAGTTCCCTGTGGCCAAGGGAGCCCAGGAGCTGTTTCAGTGCACTGGTCCCATGTGCCGCTACGCTGAAGACCTGGCCCCCATGCTGAGGGTCATGGCAGGACCTGGAATCAAAAAGTATGTTCGCTTCTTTTCTTTATTTTCTCTCCTTCCTGCCCAGGCAATTCCTTCTCCCTTTGTTTATTAGAAACATATAGGTAAACTTTTAGTCCTCAACCACAGAATTAATCTTTTGTTTTTCTGAGAGAGAGTTTTTGTATGTGTGGATGTCATGCTTCACAAACTGGGAAGATCATTTGTAAAAATAATTTACTGTGTGAAAATATTACACAAAGAGAGGCCTATTTGGGGATGAAAGCAGTGGGTTATTGTTCATTTGTCAATTTGAATATATAGACATCCCACTTTAAATTAAGCCTTTCTGGTACTTCTTCTATTGGTCACCACACATGTTTTCCAAACTTTTATTGGGACATTGATATAGCCTAGAAATCTGCCTATTTCCCTTTATAGCTCTTTATTACACTTTCCACAGCAGCAATAAATGGTCCCACTTTCTACTTTACCAAGAAAATGCAATCTGTGGAACTTTCTTCAGTTCCTTACATCAAACTTTCTAGTTCCCCAGACATTAAATTCTCATTTTCCCCTTTAAGTAGATAAAATGTCTTTCTTTTTGCTTTGGTATTAAATACTTTGAGCCATGTTCCAGAATCGCATGTTCCAGTACTCTCTCAGATCTTTTTTCCATTACTGGTTAACACGTTAAGCGCCCAGCCTGTTTTGTCTTCTGGATGGAAAGTATAGTGTCAGTTGCCACTGACTGACCGGGCGCTTAACGTCTTTAACATGCCTGAACTACATACTGGTTTTCACCTTTCCACTGCTAAAATTTTTTTGTCAAGTTCTCTGATCTTATAACTGATGACCCCTATTGACTATTCCTTCCTTCTTGAAACAATCTCTACTTTAGGATTTTGTGATTCACACTCTTCTGATACAGCTCCTACATCTCTGCCCTTTCCTTTTATCTCTTTTGGTGGTTCATCCTTAAAATACTGGTACCCTAGCGCAGCGGTCGCCAGCCAGTGGTCTGTGGGGTCCGAAAGGTTGGCGACCACTGCCCTAGAGGGTCTTGGCTCAATTCATTCTTCTCTCTTTCCCCAACCTCCCAGGAAGACTCCATTTATACCTGCTATTTCAGTTACCTCCCATACATATAGAGGATTCACAAATATACATCTCCAATTCCTTCCTTTCACCTTAGCTATAGGAGTGTATATTAACCAGCATCCTGGGCATCCCAAGGACTTGAAATTCAGTGTGTCTGAAACTGATTTTCGTTCTCTTTCCAAACCCCACAAAACTGATTTGCTACATCTGTTCTTCCCCAATTCCAGTGACTGTACCATAATCAACCCAGCCACAAAAGCCTGGTTCCCCATCTCTATTACTCCTATGTCTAAGCAATCTCCAATGAAGATTACCTCATAATTATTTCCCACATCATTACATTCCTATCACCATGGTTATAATTCTTGTATAGGCTACAATAATTTCTCACCAGAGCCTTCTGACTTTTTACTCCATCTTCAGTCTTGACCATTCTATGCTATCCTTTCTCATGTGGACAGAGTAATATTCTTAATTGAAAGTATGAATTCTAAAGGCTTATCACTATTTCTGGCACAAAATTCTGGGGGCAGGGGGGAGCCCCACTAAAGCAAATACTCAATTGTTAGGATTGAACTACTGAGTATATATAAGTAATTTGTTCATACCTGTTTCTTTTTATTCCTCCACAGATTAAAACTGGATGAAAAGGTACATTTAAAGGGCTTGAAATTTTACTGGATGGAACATGATGGTGGCTCATTTTTAATGTCCAAAGTGGACCGAGAACTCATTCAGGCTCAGAAAAAGGTAATTATAAATAGAATCTCTTTAATGGAATTCATATTTAGGCCAATAGATGCCATTTTCAACCTATTCCTTTACTGTCTACCAGATATTTCTATGTCAGAATACAGAATTAAGATGATCACAGTAGTTGTACTAAGTAATTTTTGGTGTGATTTTTATAGCTATTTTTTATGTTTTACTTGTTTTTTAATAAAAAGGAACATTTAAAAAATAAAGTATAATACAGCAAAGAAAGAAATTGCTCAGAGGTAACTGCTATTACTATTTCATCATATCTGTCCAGTTATTCTTATATGCTTATGTGTAGATGTAAATTTTATATAATTGAAATCACATTGCATATGTAACAATTCTAGTCTGCTTTTTATTCTTTAAATACTTCTGTAATAATGAAACTGATGTGTCATTTTAAAAGCAAAAGCTCATTCGAAGAAGAATAAAAAGAAGAACCCTGTCAAATTTTAAAAATACTTTTTAAAAAACGACAGTAAATAAACATGACACTATTAAAAATAGTACAGATCATTATTTGGAAAACATGTAATTTTATATCTCTAACATCAAGAAATTCATGTAAAATTCTCACAGTAAGGTTAACAAGTGCCTTAATTAAAGTCATGTACTCCCTAAATCAGAATCATCCCGATATACCAGAAACAACTAATAAAAAATGATTTTACAGTACCTACCAATTAGTTGAAACATATCTGTGAAACCTAAAGGAAGACAATTAAAAACTTGAGTGCTATAAAAGATCACTTTAGTCCTAGCCAGTTTGGCTGGGTGGATAGAGCCTCGGCCTGCGGACTGAAGGATCCCAGGTTCAATTCCGGTCAAGGGCACATGCCTGGATTGCAGGCTTGATCCCCAGTAGAGGGCGTGCAGGAGGCAGCCGATCAGTGATTCTCATCATTGATGTTTCTATCTCTCCCTCTTCCTTCCTCTCTTAAATCAATAAAAATGTATTTTTAAAAAATAAAAATTAAATTAAAATTAAAAAGATTGCTTTAACATACTAAGGCAGACATGGCAGTCCATTCTCTCCTGGCTTGAAAAGTTTCTGTTGAAAAATCCACACATAGCCTATGGGAGTTCCCTTGTATCTAAGGTCTCTCTTTGCTTTTGCTGATCTTAAATTTCTTTCTCTTTAACTTTTTTTCCAACACTTATTTTTATTTTATTTTTTATTTTAATTGTTTTTCAGTTCCAGTTGGCATTCAACATTATATCCAACACTGATGTTAAAAAAAAAATTGGGGCAGGCAACACTGTGGGTATTTTTTTTAATCTTCACCCG